TGTCGTCTCCTCTCCCACCAGACTCTCCTTCGGCACCACCGCCTTGGTCACCCCTCCCTGCCTCGTCTCCGAGGCATGGCCTCCCGTGTCCTTGTCTCTGGTCTCCCCCGGTCTCTCCCTCCCCTACCTCCGGGGCCTGCCCCTACCTACGTCCCCTGCGTCGAGGGGCGACAGCGCACCGCCCCTCACTCCTCCGAGTTTCCTCCCACAGAGGCTCCGCTGCAAACTCTTCACATGGACGTGTGGGGCCCCGCCCACGTTCGTGGGCAGGGGCACGAGCGTTACTTCCTGTTGGTGGTTGACGACTACTCGCGTTACACCATGGTGTTCCCCTTGCGCAGCAAGGGTGACGTCACTGAGGTGTTGATCGACTAGATCCGCGCCGCTCGTCTCCAGCTCAGAGAGAGTTTCGGCTCGGACTTTCCTGTTCTTCGTCTGCACTCTGACAGAGGCGGGGAGTTTTCCTCTGCCCGTCTGGGAGCCTTCTGTTGTGCACAGGGCATCCGCCAGACCTTCACGCTTCCGGCCTCTCCACAGCAAAATGGGATTGCTGAGCGCCGCATTGGCATGGTCATGGACGTCGCTCGTACGTCCATGATCCATGCGGCTGCCCCTCAATTTCTGTGGCCGTTTGCAGTTCAGTACGCAGCGCATCAGCTCAACCTTCAGCCCCAGGTCTCCTTGCCAGAGACCTCCCCCACCTTTTGGTGGACGGGGAAGGTTGGCGATGCGTCTGCGTTTCGGGTCTGGGGATCTCGGGCGTTTGTCCGCGAGTTGTCTGCGAACAAGTTGTCCCCCCGTGCTGTTCCCTGCGTCTTCCTTGGCTTCCCCCCTAACGCGCCTGGGTGGCAGTTTTACCACCCCACCTCGCGCCGTGTTCTGTCCTCCCAGGACGTCACCTTTGACGAGTCGGTGCCTTACTACCGTCTCTTCCCCTACCGCACTGCGCCCCTCCCCCCACCGCCGCTCTTCCTTGCGCCAGGTCCTCCCCCGGTAGACCCCCTACCCACTCAGGGTCCTGCCCCGTCAGTCGGTCCCAGGTAGACGCAGTCGAGCCTGTCGAGGTAGCTGTTGACTCTGGTGCTGCTAGAGATGCTGAGCCTGCGGGTGCCGGGTCTAAAGGTGCTGGACCTGAGGGTGCGGAGCTTGGGGGTGCTGAGTCCAGGGATGCGGAGCCTGGGGGTGCTGAGCTTGGGGGTGCTGAGTCTGGGGGTGCTAAGCCTGGGGGTGCTGAGTCTGGGGGTGCTGAGCCTGGGGGTGCTGAGCCTGGGGGTGCGGAGCCTTGGGGTGCTGGGTCTGCTCGTGTGGCCTCTCGCGGTGCTTCGTCGAGGCGGGAGCCACTCTCTCCGCAGGAGCTGCGCGAGTGGTTTGCCCGACGCTGGAGCCGTGCTCCTGGAGCTGGTCCTGCTGGTCCTGGAGGTACTCGTATTGGCGGTGCTGGAGCTGCTGGGGCTGGGGGTGCTGCTAGGGCTGCTGGAGTTGGTCCTGCTGGATGTACTGCTGGAGCTGCTGGCGGTATTGGAGCTGCCGGTCCTGCTGGAGCTGGAGTTGCTGGAGCTTGAGCTGCTGGGGGTGTTGGCGCTGGTGGTTTTGCTGGCGTTGGTGCTTCTGAGGGTGCTGGAGTTGGCGCTGTTGGAGCTGGAGGTGCTACTGGCGCTAGTGCTGCCGCTGTGAGTACTGGTGCTGTCCCTGCTGGGTCTCGAGGCGCTGCGCGGCCGCGGCCGTACTTTGTTCCGCTCCTTGAGAAGGTTCTTGGTCTCCCGCCCTCTACTGGTCCTGCGCCTCCCTTAGAGTGTCCACAGCCTGTCCAGTCGCAGTCACAGTTACAGCCCGCCTCCCCCCTACCTTCTCCTTCTCCCTACACTGGTCCTATTGGAGGTCTTGCTAAGCGTCGTGAGCCTGCGTCTCGTCCTGCGTCGCCTGTTCGTGCTGCTCGCACTAGTCATCGTGCTCCGCGACCGTGTCCTCCTGCGGTCCCAGGCACACACCAGATGGCACTGCGTCCTTCTACTGCTCCTCTGCGTGTCCCGTTGTCGTCTCCTCCAGAGTCCTCTCTTCCTGTTCTTGCTGACTCGGAGTCTGACTCTCTTCGTGCTGCGAGACCTACTGTCACGCCTCTCCTGGCCACTGTTGTCACTGACCCTTCCTTTGAGTCCACTGCTTCGTCGGCCCTAGTTGCTGAGCTTGTCGACTTTGCTGCTCGATGTCGTCTAGACTACGCTACTAGTCTTGTTGCTGAGTCTGAGTCTGTCTGTCCTCCGTCCGTCGGGGGTGAGTGTACCCTTGGCACGGACGTCCTTGAGGACAGGCAGGAGGAGTTCCAGTCTCTGGCTGCTGCTTTCCCTGATCTCGTGTCCACGCTGATTGGCCCTGAGGGAGACCCGGATGCACCAGACATCCCGACTCCTCGATCGTACGCTGAGGCGATCGAGGATCCCTACTCCTCTCAGTGGCAGTCAGCCATGGACGCAGAGATGGCTTCCTGGAAGTCCACAAGCACCTACGTCGACGAGGTTCCCCCACCTGGGGCGAACATCGTCAGTGGCATGTGGATTTTCAGGGTGAAGCGGCCGCTCGGATTCTCCGCCTGTCTTCAAGGCGCGTTACGTGGCTCGAGGCTTCAGTCAGCGGCAGGGAGTTGACTACTTTCAGACCTTCTCTCCCACCCCGAAGATGACCACTCTTCGGGTGCTGCTGCACATAGCCGCTTAGCGCGACTACGAGCTCCACTCTCTTGACTTCAGCACAGCTTTCTTGGAGGGCAGCCTGCACGACGAGATCTGGTTGCGCCGCCCACCTGGCTTCACTGGGTCGTTTCCTCCTGGTACCCAGTGGAACCTCGGGCGGCCAGTCTACGGTCTCCGCCAGGCGCCGCGTGAGTGGCACGACACACTGAGGACTACACTTGTGGCTCTTGGGTTTGCTCCTTCTACAGCCGACCCGTCGTTGTTTCTGCGCACAGACACCTCTTTGCCGCCGTTCTCCATCCTCGTGTACGTCGACGACTTGGTCTTTGCCACAGCTGACACTGCTGGACTCGCCCACGTGAAGTCCGAGCTGCAGAAGAGACACACGTGCACAGACCTGGGTGAACTGCGCAGCTACCTTGGCTTGCAGATCACCCGGGACAGAGCACAGCGCACCATTACCCTGACTCAGTCACACATGGTGCAGCAGGTCCTTCAGCGCTTCGACTTCACGTACTCCTCGCCTCAGGCCACTCCTCTGTCTACTCGCCACTCGCTCTCAGCTCTGCCTTCGGATGAGTCCGTAGAGCCGAGTGGCCCGTACCCAGAGCTTGTTGGCTGCCTCATGTACACAACCTGACCTTGCATACCCTCTTAGCATCTTGGCACGCTATGTTGCTCCTGGGAGACACCGACCAGAGCACATGGCTGCAGCGAAGAGGGTGTTGCGCTACGTGTGCAGTACGTCGGGCATGGGGCTAGTGCTTGGAGGGCGACGTCGAGTGGTCCTTACAGGTCACGCAGACGCTTCTTGGGCTGACGACCAGGCTACGCAGCGGTCGTCACAGGGTTACACCTTCAGCCTTGGCTCCGGCTCTGTTTCGTGGCGGTCTACGCGCTCGTCCTCTGTTCTCGACTCCAGCTGTGAGGCTGAGATCTACGCGGGGGCCATGGCTTCACAGGAGCTACGCTGGCTCACCTACCTGCTGACTGACCTAGGAGAGTCGCCTCGTTCTCCTCCAATTCTGTACGTAGACAACAAAGCCATGCTGGCCTTGTGTCGGGAGCACAGACTGGAGCACAGAACGAAGCAGATTGCTCTTCGCTACTTCCTTGCTCGTGAGCTGTAGCAGCGTGGTCAGCTGCGCCTTGCTTACGTGGCGTCTGAGGCCAACACTGCTGATATCTTTACCAAGGCACTTCCGCCTGGTGATCATCAGCGCTTCTGTACGATGCTAGGTCTTGTGCCTACTTGGCCTTACTTGCTCACTTCTTTACCTTGCTTGTACTGTGATCTTTCTATACCTGCTCTTGCCTGTTTACCTTTATATATGATCTTGCATGTGAACTGGCCTTTTGGCCTTGCTCTTGTGCTCGGATTGTGTGGTGACGTTGTGATCCACCTTGAGCTTGCTTTGCTTTGCTTGACTGGTCTTGTGACCTCTTGTTCTCCCCCACTTTGCCTATGGGGGTGTGTCAAACTTATATGCTATAGTCTGTGTAGGCTGTAGTGGGGTAGACTATATGGGGTACAACATTTCTAGGTTTTCCTACTTGTACCCACCTGCTTGCTAGTTCATCCATCCCTCGTTTCTTCACACAAAAGTTATAGCTTCACATTCAAAAAGAGTAACTTAATATTATATAGGTTTGCTTGTGAAAATAATTTACCATGTTCTCATCCAGATATTTGTTGTGGGTGGGTGGGTGGGTGGGTGGGACCCTAAATCTACTCCCTTCCAGCAGGGCAACAGTCCGCGTCAGCAGATTTTTCTAATCAACTACGCTGCGAACTTCAGCCAGCGTGGCTAAAACGGCCCGCAGTGGCAGCGTGTCCCCGCGAACCTGCGAAAAGCTCAGCCAACCCCAACCCAGCGTGCGTGCAGCGTGCGTATCGAGATTGGTGATTTTTTTTGTCTCCGAATTCGAGTCTCACATCCCCGACTGGACTCTCTTGAGCCTCGACCTCAACTCCTCTTGGGCGTGGTCAGGTCACATGTCTCTTGTACCTTCTCTGCGGTCCAACTCGTTGCGTCGCGGTGCGAAACGGTAAACCTCGGAAACCGCTTTCCACCGTGTATTATCGTCCTGAGCCACGAAGCTTGAACTGTAAATGTACGACTGGCCCACGCAATTCCATCGACAGTCCTCACTGCTTTTCTCTCATTAAGGTTTCTTTCCCATTCCGTTAGCTTGACTTCTGTTCGAACGCAGTTTTGCTTCCTAGTTTCCTTTTAACCAACATATATAGACTATCCATCTCGTTGATTCGAAGGATTCTGTCGGTTAGCGAGGGAAGTTTCCCACGGGGATATGGCAGGGCAGGCAGGCAGGGATGGCGCTGACGTCAGCGGCACGGAGCGGCCCGGCGTGAGCGTGCAGCCGCCGTCGACCGCGTCGTCCTCTTCGCACGCGCTGTCGTCGCCCGGGGCCACCGCCGCGGCACGCCCTTCTAAGGTGACCCCTCGCTCCCGCTCCGCCCACTCGCTCCCGCCGTCTCGCTCCCGCCGTCTCGCTCCCGCCTTCTCCCTCTCGCCCGCGCGCTCTCCCCGTAGCAGTCTCTCCGCGGGCTGCGGTCGCCTTTCTTCCTTCATCCGTCGCCGTTAACTTTCCGCTCACCATCGACATCCGTCTCGCCGTCGCCTATTCGTCGTTGCCCCCTTCCATCTCTCCGCGTCCTCCCCACCGTATGCTTCCTGTGTTCCCCCTCCCCCCTTCCCCCTTCCTCTTCCCCGTGCTCCTCCCCGCGCGTGCGGCAGCCGAATCCGTTCGGGGCGGCGCGGCCGCGCGAGCAGGTGATAGCGGAGCGCAAGGGCGTCACGGAGGCGGACCTGCTGCGCGAGCTCGCGTCCAAAGAGTGGCGCCCCACGGTGAGTCGCGTCTTGATTCGCCCCACGGTGAGTCGCGTCTTGATTCGCCCCACGCTGAGTCGCGTCTTGATTCGCCCCACGCTGAGTCGCGTCTTGATTCGCCCCACGGTGAGTCGCGTCTTGAGGCGCTCGGAGGCTAGTTTGCGCCCCACAGTGAGCGCGCGCATGCTGACGGACTAGTTATAGCTCGACGTGATCCAAGACTCTTCGGAGTTGCAGTTTTATGTGAGGCCCGGTTTGCTCGTTTCACAAAAGTTCCCTACTGATGCAAGTCACGGTTTAAGAGAACAAACCTTGAAAAAACTTGTTACGTTGAGCACGGGGGGATGAGGGAGTGACGGAAAGTGGACGGGAAAGGAAGATATGGGGTACAGCGTTGAAAAGAGGGGGATTGAGAGCGAGACGGCGAGGAGGAGCGTTGCTCGGGGAGCGCGTCGTCCCTTCTGCCGGGGGTCCATGCCGCACCTCTCTACTCGCCTCCCCACTCACCCGCACCCACACCCCTTCCCCTTCCCCGCACCCCACCTTTCCCCGCCTTTCTCCCCTTTCCCCTGTTCCTCCCCCCTCCGCTCCCCCTTCCCCAGGTGGTGCTGTCGGAGGCGCAGAAGGAGGAGCAGAAGGCGGCGGAGGCGGAGCTGGCGTTCGCGCGGGACGAGCTGGCGCGCGCGCCGGCGGGCGATGAGGCGCGGCGCGCGGAGCTGGAGGGCGAGGTGAAGGCGCGCGAGGCCACGCTGCACGACCTGCTCGCGTCGTTCGAGGTGAGTGAGCGGTGAGAGAGGGCGGCGAGAGACGAGAGGTGTGGCGGTGCTTTTGAGAGTATTTAAAAGCAAGTTCAACAGAGGTGTAGCGGTGAGCTGCTTGCTTCGTTGGAGGTGCGAGGTGTGGCGCTGTTGGAGGTCTCGTCTCTCCCTTTTCTCCCCTCCTCCCTCACTCCCTCCCCCCCCCCCCCCTCGCTCGCGTCGTGAGGAGTGAGAGGTGAGAGATTTGGTGGTATTTTGAGGTATCCCCATTTGCGGCGACACCCGCTTGCTTCCCTCTCTCCCCTCCCGCTCTCCCTCTCTACCTCCTCCCTCCCTACCTTCTTTTCCTCCCTCCCTTTTCCCTTCCTCCCTCCCTCCCTCTCCTCCCCTCTCCACTGCCTTGTTTTCTTTCCCCCACCTCTATCTCCGCCCACAAGCAGTACTCACCTCGCCGCATCACCACGCCGCCATGCCCCGTGCCGCTGCGCTCCTCATTGCGCTTCCCCCCCTCTCTCCTCTCCCGCCCATCCTCCCCGCCCCTCTGTCCGCTTTTCCTTTGCCTCCTCGCTCTCTGCGGAACCCCCCTCCCCCTCTCGCCGCGCAGAAAATGGCGCTGGAGAAGCAATCAGCCGGAGGGGGAGGGGGGGTCAGGCGCGGAGTGGAGCGGGGCGGGGCGGGGGGAGCAGGGGGAGGGGGGCATGCGCACGCTGCCCCGGAGTCATACGGGGGGGGCTTTGGGGGGAGGCGGGGGAGGGAGGGGCAGGGGGGGGAGCATGGGGGCGCGGGGAGCTATGGGGATGCGTGGGGCGGGGGAGGAGGGCGGAGAGGAGGCGGCGGAGGCGGAGGCGCGTGCTACAACTGTGGCGAGGTGAGCTGAGGGGTGCTGTGAGGTGGTGGGATGCTGTGAGCTGAGGGATGCTGTGAGCTGGCTATTATCCTGTTTTTACTGGTGCTGCTGGGTTCTAAAGCCTGTTTAGACTCACTGGAGCGCTGTGGCACCCCCTGCGCCTGCGCTGCTGCGCCCTCTGCTCTCGTTGTGTGGCCTCAGCCCTCTGATGCCGTACCCTTACCCCTTGCCATGCACCACCATTGCGTTCGCCTCTTCACCCCATCACCCAATCCCTGCTGCCACCTCGCTGCTCCATTCCTTGTCGTTCCCCCACACTCGTCCTCGCCCCAACCCATGGCCCCCACCCACGCTACTCGCCCCGCCCCGGCCGTATGCCCCACCCGTGCCATGCCATCACCACTCTGCACCACACGCCCCTAGTGCCCTCACTCCTTGCGCTCCCAACCATTGTGTCCTAAACCCAGCCCCCCTTAAACACTCAACTGTCACGCCCCCTCCTCCTCCCCCCCCCCCCCCCCTCTTCCCTCCCTCTCCCTCCTACCCCCACCACCCCTCCCCCTTCCTCCCCCCCCCTTCCCTCCCTCTCCCTCCTACCCCCACCACCCCTCCCCCTTCCTCCCCCCCCCCCCCTCTGCCCAGGTGGGTCACTTCTCCCGCGAGTGCCCCAACGCCCCTGGGGGCCCAGGTTCGCGCTCAGGGGGGTATGGCAGCAGGGGGGGCGGAGGGGGGCGGGGGGGCGGGGGAGGCGGGTGCTACAACTGCGGGGAGGAGGGGCACTTCGCTCGCGAGTGCCCCCAGGGCCGATCCTCCAGCTTCGGCGGCGGCGGCGGGTACAGCGGAGGCGGGGGTGGGTACGGCAGGAGCAGCAGCGGGGGTGGGTATGGTGGGGGTGGTGGGGGGTATGGTGGCGATGGCGGTGGGTATGGGGGGGGAGGGGGGAGCTATGGGGGAGGCTATGGGGGAGGCTATGGGGGGGATGGGGGGGGAGGAGGATCGCGAGGGTATGATGACAAGGCAGGCGGGGGGAGACGGGGCTATGGCAGTGGCTGGGGGGACCATTGAGGTTGAGAGGCGATTTGGTGTCTCGTCTTGCTAACGTGTTGACGATGTGGATTGGACCTCAGTTGTGGGTGTGCACTGCTGTACCAACTTGAAGTCTTGCACCGTATTGAATGTACTGCATTTGCAACTACGGTACCGTAGCTTGTGCAACTGATTACCGTAAGACTCAGTGTGTTTGGAGGTTCATTTGAACGTGTGGTGTGGACTGGTAGAGACTCAATGAAAGTCGCAAGTGGCTCAAGCCTTTGTCACCTGGATTTAGTGAGCACAGTATTTGATTCACTCCACGTGCTGGGACGATGCTCTGCTCAGGATGCACATGCTAGGGCAGGCGATGCACATGCTACGGCAGGCGATGCACGTGCAAGGGCAGGCAATGCACATGCTAGGGCAGGCGATGCACAGCTAGGGCAGGCGATGCACATGCTGTCAGAAAAGCCTCATATCTTAACTCACACCTTAATGTCCTAGGGTTTTGCTAGGAAGAGAGAGTTGTTTGGCAAGCTAAAGAGGGTTTCACAATAACAAACAAGGATCATGTAGGTGAGAGAACAAGAACAAGAGGTGCACCACCAATAATAAAGCAATAATTCCACTACACCTTCAAACGATTATATAAAATATACCCGTCATACCCCGGATATAAGCGCCACCCTCGGATAAGCGCCTGGCGCTTTTAATTGGCGTGTGGCGCTTATATCCCCTGCTCGATTATAAGCGCACACCCTGAAAAATCTTGTTTTATTATAAGCGCACGTAAACTTTAAAATTTGAAATGTGTTCAATGTTGAGATAGAGGCGAGGAATGAGTGCACTATGAAATGAAACAAGTACAAGCACCAGCCCTAATTGGGTTGTACCCCCTATGGGCTACCCCACTACAGCCTAAATATATGCATCAGTAATATAATCATCTGACACACCCCCATAGGCAAAGTGGGGGAGAGCAAGGGGTCACAAGACCAGTCAAGCAAAGCAAAGCAAAGCAAAGCAAGCTCAGGGTGGATCTCAAGGATACCACACAAGTTCCGAGCACAAGTTCAAGGCCACAAGGCCAGTTCACATGCAGCATAGCATATATATATAACAGTGCTAAACAAGCAAGAGCAAGGATATATATATGCAGCAGTACAAGCAAGGTCAAGAGGTAAGCAAGTGAGGCCCAGTGGGCACAAGGCCTAGCAGAGTGCAAAAGCGCTGATGGTCACGAGGCGGAAGTGCCTTGGTGAACACATCAGCAGTGTTGGCCTCAGTGGCCACGAAACGCAGGCGAAGCTGACCACGCTGCTGCAGCTCTCGAGCAAGGAAGTAGCGCAGAGCAATGTGCTTCGTCCTGTGCTCCAGTCTGTGCTCCTCACACAAGGCAATGGCTGCCTTGTTGTCGACGTACAGCACTGGAGGAGAACGAGGCCGCTCTCCAAGGTCAGTCAGCAGGTAGGTGAGCCAGCGAAGCTCCTGGGCAGCCATGGCCGTGGCGTAGATCTCAGCCTCACAGCTGGAGCTGAGAACCGAAGAAGAGCGAGTAGAGCGCCAAGAGACAGAGCCAGAGCCAAGACTGAAGGTGTAACCCTGAGACGACCTCTGAGTAGCCTGGTCGTCAGCCCAAGAAGCGTCTGAGTGCCCAGTGAGCACAGGCCGCTCACGCCCTCCAAGCACTAGCCCCATGCCCGACGTACTGCACAAGTAGCGCAACACCCTCTTAGCTGCATCCATGTGCTCCTTCCGGTGACGGCCGGGAGCAACATAGCGTGCTAAGATGCTGAGAGGGTATGCGAGGTCAGGTCGAGTGCAAGTCATCAGGTACATGAGGCAGCCCACAAGCTCTGGATACGGACCACTCGACTCTACGGACTCATCCGAAGGCAGAGCTGAGAGCGAGTGTCCCGTAGGCAGAGGAGTGTACTGAGGCGAGGAGTACGTGAAGCCGAAGCGCTGAAGGACCTGCTGCACCATGTGTGACTGAGTCAGGGTAATGGTGCGGCGTGCTCTGTCCCGGGTGATCCGCAAGCCAAGATAGCTTGTCAGTTCACCCAGGTCTGTGCACGTGTGTCTCTTCTGCAGCTCGGACTTCACGTGGGCGAGTGCGGCAGTGTCCGCAGTGGCAAAGACCAAGTCGTCAACGTACACGAGGATGTAGAACGGCGGCAGCGAGGTGTCGGTGCGCAGAAACAGCGACGGGTCAGCAGTAGAAGGAGCAAACCCAAGAGCCGCAAGTGTAGTCCTCAGTGTGTCGTGCCACTCACGCGGCGCCTGGCGGAGACTGTAGACTGGCCGCCGGAGGCTCCACTGGGTACCAGGAGGGAACGACCCAGTGAAGCCAGGAGGGCGGCGCAGCCAGATCTCCTCGTGCAGGTGGCCCTGCAGGAAAGCAGTGCTGAAGTCAAGAGAGTGTAGCTCGTAGTCACGCTGAGCAGCGACGTGCAGTAGAACCCGAAGAGTGGTCATCTTCGGGGTCGGGGAGAAGGTCTGAAAGAAGTCAACTCCCTGTCGCTGACTGAAGCCACGAGCCACGTAGCGCGCCTTGAAGACAGGCGGAGAACCCGGCGGCCGCTTCACCCTGAAGATCCACATGCCACTGACAATGTTCGCCCCAGGAGGGGGAACAGCGTCAACGTAGGTGCCTGTGGACTTCCAGGAAGCCATCTCTGCGTCCATGGCTGACTGCCACTGAGAGGAGTAGGGACCGGCCATCGCCTCTGCGTAAGAGCGTGGGGTCGGGATGTCTAGAGCATCCGGGTCTCCCTCAGGGGCAACAAGCATGGACACGAGATGGGGCAAAGCGGCGGCAAAGCATTGGAACTCCTCCTGCCTGTCCTCAAGGACGTCCGTGCCAAGAGCACAGTCACCCCCGACGGACGGAGGACAGGCAGACGCAGACGCAGCAGACGCAGACTCAGCAGACTCAGCAACAAGACTGGCAGCGTAGTCCAGACGACACGCAGCAGCAAAGTCGACCAGCTCAGCAACTAGGGCAGACGCAGCAGCGGACTCAAAGGAAGGGTCAGTGACAAGAGTAGCAAGAAGACGCGTGACAGTAGGACTGGCAGCACGGTGAGAGTCCGACTCCGGGTCGGCAAGTGTAGGAAGAGAAGACTGAGGAGGAGAAGGCAAAGGGGCACGCAGAGGAGCAGTGGACGGACGCAGAGACATCTGGTGCGTGCCAGGGACAGGAGGAGGACGCTGACGCGAACCGCGACCACTAGGGCGAGCAGCTCGGACTGGCGACACAGGGCGGGACGCAGGCTCACGACGCTCAGCAAGACCTCCAGTAGGACCAGCGTAGGGAGAAGGAGAAGGCAGAGGAGAGGCGGGCTGTAACTGTGACCGTGACGGGACAGGCTGCGGACACTCTACGGGAGGAGAAGGACCAGTGGAAGGCGGGAGACCAAGAACCTGCTGAAGGAGCGGAACGAAGTACGGCCGAGGCCGCGCAGCACCGCCAGAGACAGCAGGGACAGGACCAACACCTCCAGAGGCAGCACCAGCACCAGTAGCAGCTCCAACTCCAGCACCACCAGCAGCTGCAGAAGTACCCGCAGTAGGACCGATAGTCGTAGCCTCAGCGCCAGCACCCGCAGCAGCTCCAGCTCCAGAGGCACCCCCGGGCCCGGCAGCTCCAGTACCCTCAGTACGAGCACCACCGGGACCCGTGGTACCAGCTCCCTCGGCAGCAACGGAACCTCCAGCACCCGCAGTACCCCCGGCTGCAGCAGCTCGCCTCCAGCGCCGGGCAAACCACTCACGCAGCTCCAGAGGAGAGAGCGGCTCGCGGCGCGAAGAACGGTCTGGAGAACCACCAGGAACAGAAGCAGCAGGCGCAGCACTCCCAGACCCAGAACCCCCAGGCTCAGCACCCCCAGGCACACCACCCCCAGGCTCAGCACCCCCAGGCTCAGCACCCCCAGTCACAGATCCCCAAGCTCAGTACCCCCAGGCTCAGCACCCCCAAGCTCAGCACCCCCAGTCTCAGCACCCCCAGGCTCAGTACCCCCAGGCTCAGCACCCCCAGTCTCAGTACCCCCAGTCTCAGCACCCCCAGTCTCAGCACCCCCAGTCTCAGCACCCCGAGGCTCCGCACCCGCAGCAGCACCAGAGTCACCAGTGACCTCGACAGGCTCGACCGCGTCTACCTGAGACACACCTGAAGGGGCAGGACCCTGAGGGGGGAGGGGGTCTACCGGGGGGGGACCTGGGACCAGGAAGAGGGGCGGGGGGGGGGAGGGACGGAGTGCGGTAGGGGAAGAGCCGGTAGAAGGGAACCGACTCGTCGAACGTGACGTCCTGGGAGGACAGAACACGACGAGAGGTGGGGTGGTAAAACTGCCACCCAGGTGCGTCAGGGGGGAAACCCAGGAAGACGCAAGGAGCAGCACGAGGGGACAGCTTGTCCGCAGACAAGTCGCGGACAAACGCCCGAGATCCCCAGACACGGAACGCCGACGCATCGCCAACCTTCCCCGTCCACAGCAAAGCTGGGGAGATCTCCGGTCTGGAGACCCTGGGCTGAAGGTTGATCTGATGTGCGGCGTACCTCACCGCAAACGGCCACAGAAAATGGGGGGCAGCCGCATGCACCATGGACGTACGAGCGACGTCCATGGCAATGCCGATGCGGCGCTCAGCAATCCCATTCTGCTGTGGAGAGTCCGGAAGCGTGAAGGTCGGGCGGATGCCTCGTGCCCGACAGTAGGCTCGCAGAAGGCCGGAGGAGAACTCTCCGCCTCTGTCCGAGTGCAGACGCAAAACAGGAAAGTCCGAGCCGAAGCTCCGCCTGAGCTGGAGACGAGCTGCGCGGATCCAGTCGATCAACACCTCAGTGACCTCACCCTTGCTGCGCAAGGGGAAGACTGTGGTGTAACGCGAGTAGTCGTCAACCACCAGCAGGAAGTAGCGCTCGTGACCCTGTCCACGGACGCGGGCTGGGCCCCACACGTCCATGTGAAGCGTCTGCATCAGGGCCTCCGTCGGAGGAAACGGGGAGGAGTGAGGGGTAGCCCGCAGTCGACCCTCGACACAGGGGACACAGGGAGGGCC